ATCACCTCATTAGCTCAGGCAATTTGTTTGCAATGACTGTTTTGGGTAATCCTGCACATGCGCAGTGCAGCTGATGTGTCTCTGTAGCATCAATCTGCATAAGCAAAATGAACCAGGGCAGCACAAACGCTGTTGGAAACAGGAGCTCCAAAACACACTGATTGCTCTCTGAGGTGGTTTCAGCAGTTTCCCTGACCGGTTTAATTTAGAGATGAGACAGGGGCAAGTGTCACACTCCTCAGGAAGATGCATGGAGACGTGAGGCTGCTCTGTGAGGCCCCTTGCACTCTAACCCACCTTTGCAATGCACACCAAGTGAGAGAGGAAAACACTGTAAAACATTCTGTGTGTGTTTGATCACGGGGCTGATCATTTTCCATCTCCACTGTTGCCTCGCCTGCTTTTTGTCTCACTAACAGCAGTCAACACGGACAATTTTATTTAGATGCCTTGTTGCGTTTTACTGCACAACCCATGACATGTAACCTGAAGCACAAATGCACAAAAGGGATTTGGCATCTTTGCTCTGTGGCACAATCAGCATTATTGTTAGGGGCCATCCCCGAACAGGAGCCTGCCTGCAGGGACACAGCAAGCAGCTTGCCGAGCAGCTGGCCCAGCCGAGCCCTGCAGGCCCACAGCCCTGCTGCCCACACCTCCTTGCCCCATGCTTGTCCTGGGATGGGACACTGGGCCCACTTGCCAGCCCATCATTGTACAGCAATCAGTTAAATTTATGTGGCATGTGGTTTCATTCAGCTCATCTGGGCTCCCCTGTAAGTCAGGCACACCCTGGCCTGATTGGAATCATGAAGGCCCTTTCCTGGCCAGACGCTCACCCGAACACAAAGCAGACTAGGCACCGAAAGGCCAATGGGTTCTTCCTCTCAAAGCTCCGGAGACCCTTAATCCCTGTGTATCCTTTTTCCACATGCAGCTTTATGCGTTTGATTGAAGACCAAGTGATAGAGATTCAATTAGCAGAGGGAAGGGACTCTGCAGGCCCTAAGCGCAGGGGGCTTTTTGCTGTAGTGTATGAGGTCATCCCCACAGAAGCAGTTAGTTGGGGTCTGAAGAGCCCTTCAAAATGATAAATCTACAGTGAGCAGAAGGGACATGGCCAGTAGAATGTCCCAGAGAAAAATCTGCTGTGTGGACAGACAAAAGAGGGAAGAAACAGAGAGGCTTTACAAGTGAAATTCATTAGAAATTGTCCTGATGTAGGGAAGTCATCTCCCAGGGCTTTGGGATAGCTGCAGAGAATCTGGTGGAGTGCATTTAAAATGGACATTGTTCTACCACTGGGACCTGGTTTTGCAACACTATTCTCTTTTAGAGCAGTTAAGAAATGCGAGAAAAATGAGATTTTATAGTGACATTACTCAGGCAATCTCCTGCGTCTTCAAAATGCAGCTGGAAGCAGAACACCGGGTTGAACCCGTTTCCTCCAGCGCTGCAGGGGGCACAGGCCACCCCTGGTGACAAGCTGCAGCCCTGCAGTGTCTGAGGGTGCTCTGGGGACAGGACTTGTGCTCAGAACTCATGGACAGCATGCTGTGTGAGGCAGCCTTGCTGGCCTTTGCACTTCAAGTCTTTCCAAGTCTATATGACTCGATTCTGAAATAGGCTCAGTGCTGAATGTGTATCTGGGATTCAATCACTCGTTAGCAACCTTGGAGTCGTGTTTATTTGGAAAACAGGTGAGAGAGAGACAAAGGGAATGGCTCACTGTAAACATAGTTGCTTCATCTCCACTTATTTGGCTGGTGTGATCCCAAGGCATGGGGGACACCCCTACAACAGTGCTCACTCACATTCATCTTGCAGCAACTTGACCTGTGCCCACCCACCCTGCCAAGGTCACAGGACAGCCCCAAAAGGAATGGAGGGGGAGTGGGTCTGACCCCAAGCCTGGTCTCAAGGAACAACCATGCAGCCACCCGGTCCTCTGACTTGATCATGTGCAGTGAGGGCACTGGGAGAGACACACTGGGATTCACTGAAAATGAAAGACAATGGCACAGAACTTTTAAATAATTTTATAATTTCCTGATGAACTTAGTCTGTGAATAAAAAAAAGAAGAAAAAAAAAAAAAAAAGAACAAAGTGTTTATATTATCAAGGCAAAGTTGAATATAACACATTTTCTTTGCAATTTCATTATCCTGTCAGTAACATGACTCCAGCAATAAAACACATACAAGTTGAAGGCAGCGTGCGCACTTGCATCACGGACATCAATGTCTCCCGCTGCTATTTCCAAAAGGAATCCAAGTACACCAGATCCCATACCCAAAGCCTTTCTCCCCCTCCACTAAAGTGCAACACATCTCTTCCAAAGCAAATGAGGGATCCATGTCTGCAGAGAGGATGGAGTATCTCATCCCACCGCGGTTTTTTTAACCCTTAGGGCAATCCTCTGGATTGCCCCCAAACACTTGGTGAGCCAGAACCTGGAGTGGGGCCCTCATTATGTACTGACTTGGAGGAAAACAGCAACGTGCTATTCTAGTGAGCTCAGAGCAGCACGTTAGACTAGCACTAGAAGTTATTTCCCCGTTCATGGTCCCATTTTTCATCCTCCTTCAGAATCTGAACAGATAAAGGCATTTGCCACCACAACTTCCCCAGATGTACTGTAATAAACATTTCAGGTCGGGCCCAGTGCAGGCGCCCTGAGCCAGGCTGCTGCCATGTGCTGCTGAGGGCTGAGGGCAGCCTGTATCTCACAGGGTCTGAGGCTTGGCCGTGCCCACGGAGATTGAAGGAAAGATGCCTACTTGTACAATTTAGCTTCAGATTTGGATTTTAGTTGATGACCGTGTTTTATAAAAAAAGAGATTACATACAATGGATGAAGAAATCCTTTTTTTTTGTCAGCCCAAATTGAAAAAATAATGTTTTGAGCAACGAACCCACCAAAGCACCGAGAAACCAAGGCGCATATAAAAGCAAAATTGATTTACTTCATTAAGATCCAAACAGGAAGTGCAAAATGAGGATAAATAGCACATGCTAATTAACTTTGAAAGAAAAAATACATTCATTTAACGATGTTCTTCACCTAGTATCCCAGGTCAAGCAAAATGTGTGGGCTTTTTTTTAATGTTAACATGCCAGTTTATCCTCACGTTGTTCCTTCTAAGCAGCTCTGAAAATAGACCCACATGCCTACAGCCAAACTACACTTCCACATGGCTCTTGCATGTTGGCCAAACAATCTGGTCCATTTACATCAATGGTTCACATGGTAGGGGACACCCGATGATATCAGAAAAGACCGATCTCCAAAATCCCCTTTCTTTCTGCCCATTTCTACACGAGGCATGTACAGTCTAAAAGTGGGAAAGCAGGAATTTACAACACATAGTTCATAACATTTCCAATGAGGCCAAGCCTCCTGGACCTCAAAAGCCTGCGAAGGGCAACTGGTTATAATTATAAGCCCACAAATCCTTTTCCATACAGTCCTGAGAGGAGGAGTCACGGCTTTGTTGTTTCATTACTTGAATTCCTTTTGATGAAATTTATTTTTTATATATTTTTAAAACACATCTTTTTCAGTTCTACTACTATCTTTTTTTAATCCGACAACAGACACACATTGTTGGTAACTGCCCCAGCCTTAGGACCACACAGACAATATCAACAAGCAGAAAACAAAACAGGAAAAAACGCCCCTGAAAAAGTCAGGAGAGATACTGATGACAGGGTTACAGCACTCACCACACACACTGGAAAAAAGTCAGGATTTCTGTGTTTATGCTTTTGACACTAAAAAGTTTTGAAACAGTTTTTCTTTTTAAAAAAGTCAGTGGACGCAGCCATTTTGTTCAGAAGGATTTGCCGTTGTATAAGGTTCCTTCCATTTATATGGAAGAAACAATTAAAAACGTAATTTTGCTTAAAAATCCCCCCCGACACTCATTCTTTTTGCCATGCTGACGAGACTGATTGGCAGGGTGCTCTCGCCAGCAGCGCCGGACACCCTCCGCCTGACCCTTCTACCCCACCAGCTTCACTGGGGCAGTGTTAAGTTATCCATTGCCTTCTGCTTCCTCCCCATTTCCCCGTTCCAGTGCAGACGTTGAGCTGAGTAGAGCTTTTAACATCAGATGCCTTGATTGTACTGTTTCCCTTTTTATTTTATCGGTGTCATCGAGAGATGCGCGTGTGACTTACGTAGTGAAATGGTATCAGTGCATGGCTCTCTACATCCTTTGTAAAGAGCCCTTCAGTGGCAACAACTGGCAATTAGTCCAGGAGTGGGGACTCAACTCTGTTAACCTGTTATCAGCCGTAGAAATTTCCCAACAAATTGAGCTTTAGCAGCAGAATGGGTGGGAATTAGAGGACAAACAAAAATAGGAGCCCCTTTGGTTAAAAAAACAGGGTTAGGCGTGTAAGAACTGTGAGATCAGTGCTCCCTTGTATAAAATACTGAGACCCACAAAGTCAGCAAATCTGACAGAGAAGGTGTATTTCAGCAGCGCAACTGGAAACAGCACATACAGTTTGTGCATTGCATGACTTTCGCCTTCCATCCACTGGACTTGGCAAAAACTGGATGCTCCAGAGTTTGGCATTTTCTAAAGGGAAAGCTGGTTAAAGGCAGTCAAAGTGAGAAATAATAGCAGAAGCTTAGAGTTTTGTTTGGGAGCACTCCAGCCAAATCTTCTTCCAATCACAAATAGTGCTAATGTTCTCACACTGCAACTCTAGTGTTGTAATGTCCTTTTAGTGTTTTAAATGAGGCTTGATTCAGAGGAAAATATGTGCTTGGACTCATGGATATCATCAGCAAGCATGGTTGGGATGTCAGCTTTTACACTATACCTGGACTACAGGCTTGAGCTGATTTTCAGCTGAAACCTAGCAAAAAATTATCTATTTAATTTTCTATAGGCAGATCCTCGGGTCCTTACATCTACTAGTTTCTCTACAAATGACATATTGGAAGAAAAAAAAACAACCAACAAAGTAATCAAGACTTTCACAACTCCCGCAGCAAATGGAACTTCATTAGAAAGAAGAACAAGTAAGTTTCCCCAGGCTCACTGGGATCTGGACAGGAAGCCAGGAGGCAGGAGGGGCCCCAGAATTTCCCAGAACTGCTGTACTGTGGAACTGTTGCACAAGGAAACTGCATCTTCCTGGCTGCTGACACCTGGATGTAAGATAGCAGAGGAATTGGAGAGAGTTAGACAACTGGAGGAGCATCATGGCAAGTACTCTTGTATGAATTTTCTGCCATGTGCCCAATGGGTGGTTTCTTGATGGACAATGATCACCAAATCTATTGATTACCCTAAGGCCAATGTTGTGGCACTCCATATAAACAAGAAGAAAGGCTTTTGCGGGCCACACTCTGCATTAAATCACAGCCAGCAGCATCTCCCAGATCACACAGTTCTTCAAACTATTTGCCACAACAAGATCTGTATCTACACAGGATCAGAGAGATTATTTGAAATAGTTCAGTGGAGATCAAGTTGGATCAAGTCTGTTCCCAACTGAGATCTGCTCTCTCCCTGAAAATACTTCACTGAGGTCTAAGATCAGTGTTTAAGTTGCAAGTCTAGAAGCCCAAGAAGATAACAGTAGTTAAGAACACTTGCAGTGGCCCAATAATCCTGCTGGGAAGAACAGCAAGCATGTGGCTCGCAGTCAGAACACCAAATGGCTGGTATGAAAACTGGCCTAGTTTTTGATAAACCCTTTCAAGGAAGTCACCAGGAGATGCATAAACAGCGAGATTCACCTGGTTTCAGATGCATGGGTCCCACAGACAGCATCATGCCTTTGCTGAGGCACTTTGCAGCCAAGAAAGACAGCCTCAGGCTGGCAGCTGAGTTAAAGACGCAAAGGAACCAGTGCCGAAACTCAGAGCTTTCCTGTGATGTATGGGCAACGCAGCACACAGACGGAATTGAAATAACAGCCAGAAATGACCACCCCTTGCTCTCATCCCTCCCCCTTCCCCTGCAGCAGGAACACTATCAAGGGACATCTCAGTAAGAGGTTTACAAGCAGGAGTCATTTGAACCATCGATAAGGGAAATTCCACAGCTTCTCACAGAAGAGGGATTGTTTTACAGCAGGGAACCAGGGCAGCTGGAGATTTGACCATATAAGTTAATGAGATAGTCAGGAGTGGTGGTGGCAGTGTGATGATGTTAGGCTGATGGCCCTGATGGTTTTACAGGCAGCATTAAATTCCTTGAGTGAGTAATTAGGGGTGATGAAGTAAAAGCAAGAGGAAAGATTTCAAAACAACAGCTCCTATCAAAACGTGCTGACTCAAATAATAGGACCAAAGGGGTGGTTCTGGTATGAGGCATGGCTCAGTGGTATGTACAGTCACTGTCTACATGCCTTCCGGTATTTCCCCCTTGCAAACATTCAGGTTCCCATTACTCTCCTCTTACATGAGAAAAAAAAAAAACCACAAAAACAAAACAAACAAAAGTCTTTGGACACAGGCTAATGCTATACTGAGAACTAAAGTTACATTTCCTGATTTGTAAAGCACTGTCAGTTCAAAAGATGGAGAAGGTGCGAGCCATCCCTTCTTTGGAGACCTAGGTATTTCTACCCAGCAGACGACATGGCTATGGATACAGTTGCTTCTTCTGAATCATCACGGTAGAATGAATTAGGGTATGATTCATTCATTTCAAATTAGTTAGTTTCCAATATAATCCACAGATGTATACGTTTTCAGCTTTGCCCAGTTTTTACTGGTTGAAAAGAAGATGGTACACCTTCCCTCATGGAAACTTTTGCTGACCTCCTTTCTATTAGAAGCAATCAGTCATTTCAAAGAGTAAAAATAAGGTGTGGAAGACCTACAGGTGAGTTATGCTACCAATTTGAAAGATGTAGGAAATCCAGTTCTTCTGAAAGAGTTTGAAACATTTTATTTAGCATAACAGTTTAGTGATTAAGCTCAAAATGTAGTAAGTCAGATGGAATTAAACTCTGAATGGGAGGCTCTGAATGGGAAGTTTACTGAGAGACAGACGATGGATAGACACTGCGGTCAGCTGATGTTTCTAGAACTTGTAAAATCAGAGTTACAGCAATGGCTGCAGGAGTCAGAGGGCTTATAATTAGCTGGTAACTAGAAAACCAAGATTTCATCGCCTGCTGCGTTGCTATTTGGTCTCCTTTTCCCCTCCCCCTGTTTTCTTAAGTAATATGAGAAAGCTAAAGGGGAAAAACTCCTTTAAGGAGTACACAGGGACACGTTAAATGGTTCTGTCCTGCAGATGCCCCCAGATGCATATAACCATTGGTAGCCAGGAAAAAAAATGTGTCCTCTTTAATGCAGAGCCCAAGAATGAACACCCAAGTCCTACTCATAAAATAGGGTTCTGAATTGCTACCATGACAAACCGACCTGCTATTTCAGGTCATATTACCTATCAGCAGGGGCTTTAATGAGCAACAAAGATGGATGGGAGCAACATGAAGGCCTCTTATATACATGTAAGAATTGCACTGGTTTAGCTAAAGCTGTGATTTTATACCTATCTACTCAACTGGGTGCCAACTCCAGCAGAGATGCTCTTCTTTATAAGAACAGGTTCTTGCTCTGAACTCAAACTAATTCCTTGTCAACCTAAACTAACTCAAAATAAATTAATTCATAATTATAGTAAGAACTGTGTTGCTAATTTACCTAAGTTAGTTTTAAAATTATATTTTTAAGCTAAATGATGCAATTTGGTTATGTACAAAATGCCTAAGACTATTCTGATGGCAGCTGGTGTTTATAAGCCTACAGCCTGAAAAATCAGCAATGGGCAAACTATACAAGTTAAACCTGGGAGCTGACTTGCTGATCACACCTGTTTGAAGGGGGAGATCTTTCTATAAAATAAGAATTTAGGTGACTCTATGAAGAACTCAGCTAAAAAAATGAAGAGCCAAAAGACAAAAACTGTTATCTGAAAATATGCCCCACTCAGCACTTCAGAGTCAAATCAGTGAACAATAAAAATTAATGCTAAGTAAAAGAAAGTACCAGCATGCCTACCTGGTTTCCCAGCTGCTAGATTAAGACACTCACAGAACGTAATAAGGAAACCTTTCTTTCATCTCTATGTTATTTAAGAATGTAAGAAACATTGAGACAGGCAGTGAGACCTGAGCTAGCTAGCTGATGCTGGCCATTTGTGAGCCGCAATCAGAGCATACTCAAGTTTAATTTTTAGCACTATGAAATAGAGGCTTTCAGCTTTTATGAGAAGAAAAAAAAAAGCAATAAATGAATGAAAGGCAAGGCTACCCATCTGCAACCTCACGAAGAACTAGAACTTCTTGTATTCAGTGGATCCCCTCTTTGATCAGGAGACTCAGAAGAGCTCTGCTTAGCTGTATCCAAAAGTCCAATACCAACAAGTCAGCAGGGAATTGGATGCTAAAGTAGAAAGGCAGTGAGAAGATGAACATGAGCATGACTGATTAATCATAGACTGGAAGAACCTAGAGAGCCTGTAGTTTTTAGAGGTGTTTGTTTTTGTTTGTTTTTGTTTTCCTTGCAAAAAGTGCACCAGAAGTTTCTGTTCCATTTTCTGTCTTTCACATTCCTCTCCACTCTCACGGCTCCTTGGACTGACTGGGCTCGGCCGTTGGTGCGCTGCTCCAGCGGGGCCAGCGGCCGAGGTCATGACGACTCCTCGAGTGCATTGACGACTTGCTCCAGGATGTCAGGGCAGTGATCTGCTATCTGCTGTAAAATGGCGTTGGCAAACTCTTGCAGCTCTGCGCTTTCCTTCTCGCCCTTTTCTAACTCGTCACGAAGCTGCAAGAAAACACATGACTACAATCATTCTTTGCTGTTACACACGTTCACAACACAATGAGTTCTGCCTAGCAGGCTCAGCTCTAAGCTAAAACACCAGCTTCAGGGAGGCAGCTAGCAGAATGCACCAAGCAGCGTGTGCTCCCAGTTAAAGCCGGGTCACCATGGGAAAACTAAGTGCCTTAGCTACTCCTCAATAGATTGTTTTAGATTAATATCTGCAAAGCTTCCTTTGTAGAATGTTTCTCTGAAAGCAACTGTACTCCAGAAAAAAAGACGTTGTTTTGCTAGTATATCAATTAACTTGATTTTTATTAACAGATAACAGGACATATTTACTTCAGAATTGCTTCCTATATGACATCAGTAGAAATGTTACAGACTCCTACCTAATATACTCAATGTCAAGTAGCATTCTGATTTGTCTGTGGTAAAAGTAACTTTCAGACACTGTGCTTCTTTACTCAGTCATATGATTGCCATACAGAACTGCAGTGGAGCATCCGTACTTTTTGTTTACTAAGAAATTATACATTTCCTATTGGATTATCTGCTCAGAGTAATTGGCTCAGAATGAGACATGAAACTTGCAAACCTTACCTTATTCATACTTTGCATTGTCCACAAGCTGTCCGTCCAACAGACAGAGTAACAAACCGCAGCACACAACACAATGGAGTAGATGTGAACATGGCTTTTAACTCTGAATCTAATGGCACTGTCATAACTAAGGGCCCAAAGTCTTAGTGAAGAGCAGGAAACATCTGCCTTCAGTAACCTGTTTATCCAACACAGAATTGATAAATCCCATGCTAGGAGAATCCCAAGTAAGGTTGTAATTTGTGGAAGCATTAAGGGATTACTGTAGTCACAACAATCTAACAACAAGGAGAAGCAGCATCTCTTACCAGACCAGATGACACAGTTAAATAGATTGGATAAGCTTTCAAGCATACAGCCTTATTGTGATATTGTGATACGATATAGCAAAAGCCTGCTTTGTTTTATCAGTGATGATGCTGCTTCTAATTCATTCCTTCCGAATAGAAGACAAGTATATTTATAGCAGGTACATACACTTCTTAAATGGGTCTGAAGTTCATTGCAAGCTTTTGCATTTAAAGTTTTGTTAATTTAAGTAAATGTAGCAACCAGATTATCTATTTTTGAACCTTCCTTTAAGTTTGATTTGTTGAGTTTCTAATATTACCCGGCAGTCTTGTAACAATTCTTATTCTTGAGTTATTAATATTTTTATTGGAACTCTGTTGTGTTCATATGTGACATGGAAAGAATGTCACAGTAGGATTTTTCATCCATGAAGGGATACCTGGTCACCAGCATACAAAGCTCTTGATCTGTATTTTTTACTGTTGTAAGGCTGCTTGTTGTAAGTATTACAAAGAGACAGCTGTCAGGCAGTAGGACAACAGAGATCAGTTTATGTCAGTAAGAGCACAATCAGAGGGAAAAGTTACATTCCTACAATTAAAATTCGAATCAGATAGGATGTCTGTGCTTAGTGATGGCATCAAGCAAAGCATGGGAGATTGCTACAGTGTACTGCATGAAATACTGCATGAAAACAAACAGGCTAAGAGTGACTACAGAATAAACACAATGTTTTCCAAGAAGTTATGGTATAGACTTCTATAGACAAAAGTGAGAGAAAGGAAATTAAAAGGGTAAGCCAGCTCCACTACTCCCTTTACTAGGCAGGGTAGCATATAGTAAATTATTTGGGCTTTGCGTGCTGAATGTTAGTTTAATGTGCTCTTATGTGCTTTGTTCCTACTGGCTGGTGTGCTCACAGCTCGGCTAGATGAATCTGAGAGGGGCTGATGCCAAGAATCACAATGCAAAAGCAACCTGATCCTGCTCGGCAGAACGACATGAGCTGGGGAAGGGGGAAACGAGTTGGAGGGGAGTACTTGGGGCTGTGAGAGGTCTCAGGGGAGAAGGAAGGGAATTCGGCAGTAACCCATCATGGCTCAGGAAGGGCATGCTGCAGGTCTGCGATTAGCTTGGTTCCAGCAGCCTGGCAGAGCAATTAGTTGGAAATTTGCAGTGGATGGATAAGCCTAGAAGTAGTCCAGTCAGCAAGCGGGAATGAAAGACACAGCCAGCGAGCAGCAGTGCCGTAGATGAAGAACCAGGAGATGTACTCTAAGGAGCTATATCCCAAGTCTCTGGTTGTCAGGCTAGTGAAACTACAGCAATTCACATGGCCCCAAGCCACCTACTGCTGAGAAACTCACGAGGCTGGTCTTAATGCTCAGCTCTGAGGCACGGCTTCCTTGGCTTTTTGGGCCAGAGCAATGATTTGATGGTGCCATTTAGCAGGTAGAAGGTTGTGGAGGCTAGGAAAGACGTGGAGTAATGGGAGAATAAGCAATTGATGTAATTCTGCTTCTCTTCATCAGTTTGCATGCATGAGTCCATTCTGGGCTCTCGAGCCACAAGAAGAGGACCAGGAGAGGGCACTGTTAGCAGGGAAACAGGGTCAGGCTGACATGGGTCTGGCCCCTCGGGCCTTGCTCCACCACCCTGTGCAGAGCTGTCCTCCAGGTAACCCTGCCAAGTCTCGCAGGTAAAGCTCCAGAAAAGGACAAAGTGATTTTTAAAAAACAGCAGCATAACAAAGCACCTCAAGGAGACTAACCTCCAGAAGTGAAGGGAGGTTGGTGGGCAAGAGAGAATCCTGCAGGCTGTTGTCTTCGGCCAAGCAGCGCTGCAAAGCCAGTGACTAAGTTTCTTGCTGTGCCATTAATTTATGTGAAAGTATGTGTATTACAAAGATTCCTTATAAAATCAAGAGAAGATCAACAACATAAGCCCACACCAAAGCTGAAATAAGTCAAATGTAATCAAACAAAAGTAACAAACTTAACCAGATGGAGAAATTATTTCCAAAAAATAAGTTTTGGGCCATCAAGAGGAGACTGCTCTGTATGCTGAAGGCAAGCAATAATACTTTGTAAATTAGCACAGACAGAAAGTCTATGCAGCTGCCTGGCAGATGTCTGTGATGAAACATTTAAAAAAAGCAGCAACGATAGCCTTGCATTGAGTTTGCTAGTTTCAGAACATCTAAGTTTAATGATAGGATTTCTAGTTAAACAAAGCCATCTTAATTGACTGTGTGGCTGGTTACAGCATTTCTGTATTATCTATGTCATCTCTGTTTACATCATTCCTCTCAGAAACAGCTGTGAGCAGCATACGTCACTCCTCATCCAGACAAGCTTCTTAATGGGGAACATCCAGTTCTCCATGGTATAAATTGATTCACCTAGATGTCTGACAGCTCAAAAATTAGGGAATTTATGTAAAATTATCACTATCATTCTGCTCCTTATTTTCTAGAATGTTGTGAATGCAAATGGAAACAGTACCATCCTTCCCGTGTCATTTTTCCTATGAAAATAAAGGAGTGCCAACGGTGTTTTCAGTTGGCAGTTTGAGCTCAGGATACTATATGTCTCATCTGCTTGCCTCATAGTAATGTCAGAAAAAAAGAGAAGGCCAGATATGTTCGTAAGCCTCGCTGATGACAAGTAAAAGCAGACAACTCAGAAAGAAAAGGACAGAAAGGACTCTAGAAGTGCCTCACAGTATTTACACTTTATCTAGGGATAGAAGAATAGAAAGGACCTTTGGTGTCTCAGAGGAATGTACATTTGCAGATAGCCTGCAATAGATTCAGACACCATTCACCACGGCTGCCTCCTTGGGTTTAGAGCAAGTCATGAATGGAATACGTTGGCACTCAAAGTTAAACTCCATTAGTGAATAGCAATAATAAACGTGAATTTACCTTGCATTTGTATTTCTCTGATCCAAGATATTCCAGAAAGTATTTAAAGATTAATTGACTTTTGGAGGGAAAATAACTTCCTAGTAAAGAAATGCAATGCTGTGGTTTTACTAGGTGAACCACAGAGTTGCTCTGCAGAATCTCAGTGGCCTTTGCTTATCCCATAATGTATACAGGGCAACATTTAGCTAAGAATCTTCTAAATTTCTTGATATGGAAGAAGTTCCCTATGCAAAGCAATAATTCTGCTGATGAAAAAAAAAAAAAGGCAAATAAAAATAAAGCTGTATCTCATTCATACAGACGAGTTCTGGCTATAGACAGTAAAACTGGATGTAGGTTATGAAGTGCTTGCAGAGCCACACAAAAGTCAAGTTAACTGCCAGACTTCTGTAAGGCTGCAATGCTGGGATTTGTAATTATGCTTCCCTTACAATTCAGGTGCTTCTGGATCAGACCTTAGCCAGTCTGAAAAATACATTTAGAACTTAAAATAACAGAAATAAGCAAGAAAAAGAAATTCAACTGATTTAATCTTAGCCTCTGCTTTGTCTGAAAATAACTTAAACTATGGTGTATCTCTGGCAAATGGCGAGCAGCTTTTGCATCTTCCCAGACATACCAGTCTAAATATGTACATGTGAAGTAATGAGAGTCAATTACACACAATCCTTTATTCCTCAACTCTATTAGACTTGTAAAAGGGACAAAGGAATGGGCTAGGAATGTGGAAATCTCGGTGTGCCAATCCTTCCTTTTTTTTTTAAGTATGTTAAATATATACACATTTAAATTAGAACACTAAATATTTCTGCTCTTTCTGTAACTTCTGTTTTTCTCTTATCTTTTATCAAATATTAAAAAAAAATCATTTCAGTTTTCAAATTAAGCATTCTTACTTGTCTTTTTAAAGTAATGTACACATGAAAAATATGTTTCAGATATATCTAAATGCACTCAAATAGATTTCACAACCAATTTTGAGAAAAACACCTTTACAAATTTGTTGAGGGCTACTGAAGTATGTATCTGAAACTTGTACATGTGATTTATCCTGCATTCCTGGGCATCTCTAAGCTTTGCTAAGAGCAGAAATGTTATTACTTCATTGGTAGTATACGAGTTTCAAAAGGATATAAATGGAAAGAAGGGATTCAATAATTATCTGTAAGTTATACATTGC